CTAAATGCTGTGTTGTGTTCTGGGAGACCCGACACCTCCTCCGAGACCTGATCCTGTTCCAGCTCTGGGATTGTCTGTCTGTTACACCGAGTTCTTCTATGACCCCAAGGCCCGGCCCCTGAGTTTGCTGCGAGCTCCTCTCCCCGCCGTCCTCCCTGAGCTTTGTAGTACTGCTGTAAGCTAATTGCCGTCGCTCCCGGCCCGTTAATCCAGATTAGTATGGAAGGCAGCCCGTGCTGGCAGAACGAGGCTCAGCGTCCAGATCAGGGCGGCCCTCTCGGTGGAGGGGTCGGGACAGCGAGACTCTGTCTCCATTTGGTGTGGCGGTCAGCAGGGCGGATGTGTGCCAGTCTGGCCCTGGCTGGGCTTGCAGATGAATCCCTGCACTCCTTCAGTGGATTTAAAAAACAGTCGTTTTATCTTGAATTTGTCCCCTCGTAATTGTTGAATCACATGCGCCTTTCTGCAATTCCTTCCATGATCCATAAAGTATCCATCCATCCATCCATCCACCCATTATGCAGGTATAAACATACAGAGAGGTCTTTCTAACCTCTGTGGGTCGATAAACCCAGATCCAGACTCTGCACGGTGCCAGAAATTTCTATTGGCCACAGCGTCTGGTGGGTGGGGTTAATTCAGATTCTGCTGTTCCCCATGTCTTTGTGCCTCTTCTGGGCTGGTGTTCTGGGGGTCCTGTCCTCACCCAGCACAGCTGTAACCCTTGTCTCACCAAGCGAATGTAGCGACATACATTAAACCAGATTTATGTTAATTTCTCAGCTCAGGGATACATGGTCACTGATCTGGTTGGGGTGACGTACACAAAGGTCCTCTGGTCATTTTTAAACCGCAAATGATCGTGGTGCTGTGAGAGGCAATTCATTTACATCAGCCTGAGAAACATTTATGTCAATAGTGTGCCAAAGATGCTTGGTAAGATGAAAACCTGCAGTTTGTCAGCTCTGAGACTCCCTCAGATAGGCTGGGAAACCCCTCCAGTGGGTCCAGAAACGCTCTGATAGGATAATAAGAATAATGATGATAATAATAATAATAATAATAATTATAATAATAACGACACATTTATTGATCCCTATGGGGAAATTATCTTTTTGCCTACTCCATCTTGCTCTCAATGACACACACACACATTTGTAAGTGAGAGCAAGCTTGGTAGCAAAAGGCAGCCACTTGCAGCGGCACCTATGGAGCTGGGGGTTAAGGGCCTTGCTCAAGGGCCCACAAACGTGACTATTTTGCCGAAGTCAGACTCAAATTAGTGACCTTCTTATTACAGGCACGGAGGCTTAACCTGCTGAGCCACACATGAACTCCTCCATTGACTCCTGACTCGCTCTAATAGGCTGAGAAACCCCCCTGTAGGTCTGGCCCCCCCTCTCCCATTGGGCAGGAGATCCCACCTTCCAGGGTTATGATGCTTTAACATCCTCTGTGCTCTACCACAGTGGGACAGAAATGTGTGAAATTTTCCATTTCTGAGAATTTGCACTTTGTTCTTGGTGGTCTCGTCTGTGAGACGATGGCCACAGGGAAGGTGGCCATTGCATATTTCCAGCCCCTGACTGCTCTCTCCCTCTCAGTTTTCTCAGCAGAGAGCTGCCCATACTGCTATAACACCGCACCCAGCCCCTGTCTAACCCTTGAGAGCTTTCACCGAAAATTGCAGGCTACCTTAGAGGCAGGAAAACCTGCATCGAGGTTGCAGATGAATCTGAGAGTCGGTGTCCGGATTTAAAAGGACCCTTCCCCCTTTTTTGCCCTGCGCTGTGGGGGCGAGGCACTGCCTCACCACGGCTTGGGGCACTGGGGAGGGAGCTGAGACCAGGGTGCTTTGGTCCCTCTGGGAGGTGCTGTGTCCTGCTGCTCTCCCTTGTTTGCTTTGACAGCTGTATTCGCTCCCTTACCGTAGTTTCCATGTTTGGGTGTCAGGGTAATGACCTCCAGCTGTAATGGATGTGAGGCTAGTCTCTTCACTCCTCACATGTCCTGCCTCCCCCATGGCACCCAGAGGCACCTCTCACTGGCGTTGGAAGCGAGAGCCCGGTAGGTCCAGCCCTGAGCTTCATGACATACCAGCGCCCGTGCCCCCATCCTGGCACTATCAGGGTGCCCTCCATCCCGCTGCTTTACCCTCTCGCCTGCCGACGTTCTCGCGGTTACGCCTCCAGCTGACGTCAATGGAGACAAGCCTGCTGGAAATGAGGAGGAGGGGGGCATATTTGGGGGCTCGGCGTCACGTCCCACCAACCTGGTGCTGGTTCTGGTTTCGGCACCCGGCCTTGTATCTCAGCCCGTTTGGCTGCCAGGAGCAGCAGGGTCTCACGGTCGCCATCGCCACTCCGCCACTGGGTCGCCGTGGCGACACGCTGCCTAGCGGCGCGCCATGTGCCCTGAAGCAGATGGTTCTGTTTTCTCTGGCTTATCCGGCCATGCTTGCTCCCGCCCCCTGCTGGCCATGCATCACATTTCTGCAGATGGGGCTGGGATCGCCGACTCCGGTTAGTCATTCCTGTCTCTGACGCCTTTTTGGTCTTGGTGGGTAATGGGTTTAGATCTCATGTATAGGGGCATATCAGTGACCTTGTGCCATGCCCTCACCCCCTTCTTACTGCTCAGCCTTTCAGCTTTTTCTTTTTTTGTTTGGGCCAAGGGCAGGGAGGAGAGAGGGGTTTTGTGGAACAGCCTCTCACAGTCTCATCAGAAATGACCTGATTGGACCCCTTCTCCATTCGGTACTCACCCTGGCTTCCATTAGCGGCCATCGGGTGCCCCTTGACCTGTGTGAGAGTAAGGCTTCGGATCACAGTGTCCATTGATGGGCTCCCAGCTCTCAGAACAGCGCACTCAGTCCCGGCCTGCTCTGTATCTGTATCTGGGGGTGGCAGGGGGTCCTTGATATTTAAGATTTATCCACGGGAGGCTGGAGTGTGATTCCGCATGCTCTAGAACAGGGTCTGCGACACCTTCCTCTGGAAATGCGTTGTTGCCGTAGGGCACCGCCGGACCCCTGTGTGCCTGGATGTGTCATGGTGACGTGGTGTCAGTCCTGTTCCCTCTCGCTAAGGGTGTGCCCTCTGGGTAATGACAGTCCTCCCATCAGCACGCCCTATCTGGTGATGCCTCCATTTCCTTCTCCCTCTGTTTAGGACAATTTACATCTACCTTCATTTCTCCTTCCACCCCGTTTACCCTCCATGGAAAGCGACCTGGGGAGCAGCTGACATCCCCCGTGCTGTAAAGTTAGAGGGTGAGGGTCAGTACCCCCTCCCCCCCCCGTTTGGCAGAGCTAGCAATGAAGGAAGACTCTGCTTCTAAGGGCTCTAATGTGTTGTTCCTGGTGGTGCTGCAGGCCGCCCTCTGTGTGTCATATTCGGGACCCCAGGATGTGCACAGACCTTTAACCACAAACCTGTCCTCCGTGCGCTCATAACCACAGGCGAAGCCTCGTGTGGGCGCCACAGGGCCAGAAGACACTCTGTGTCTTTTTTTTTCTTTCTTTATGTCAGCTGACAGTTTAGCCCCTCCAGAAGACAAGGGGTAGTAAATCCTCATTTTACAGAGGAGGCGGTGGGATTTCATTACCGCTGCTGTGCTAGGTGCCAGGAGAGTGGCGAGATGCCTCCGTCTGGTGAGACTGCAGAGAGGACGTGCCCGCCCTCCCCCAACCCGCCGCACTGCCGGCTCTCCATCCCACAATGCACCTCTCTGGCGTTATTCTGTGGTTCGGTTCCTTTTGAGTGACTTGAAGGGATCGTTCCCGCTTTCGAGCTGTGAATTATCAAATGTGTGCGGACATCTCTGTGCTTCGTTAAGTGTTTGAGCTGAAATTACGCATATGGAGCCCTGGAAACTAAAGCATCTGTGGGGGAGGGGGGACCTGCCCCCCTCTGCCCACCTTCTGTCATGTGTGCTGGAATCGCGGCAGCACTAGTGAACAAAGTGGCGTGGAGCAGACACGACTACGAGCTCTTTCGGCACGCATTAAGGAGAGATGTGTCGCTGGGAACTCATGGTGATTCTATACGTGTTTGCAGCTCTCTTTAGAGGGCATGGGGCTGCCACATGACAGGTTTGTGAATTAACAGGCCAGTGTGTCTGTTTTTGAGATGGGGCAGCAGAGGCTGGCTTCTCCTTCATGGTCACATGCCCTGACGAATACCACAAGACTCTGATTGGGGGCGCTGTGGGAAGCTTTCCGGAACTCTGCTGCCTGTGGTGTGTTATGTCCCAGATTATGCCGATTTTGTTGAAATAAATAAAAATTGTCACTGTGAATTGGGATCACCGAATGCCATATTTAACATTGTGCGCATTGTCCCCCCTGTCCCTAAATGGCCCCGCAATGTTTCCGGCCGATGATAAAGAGCCCAGAGTGTCCTTCAGCGGCGTGAATGTTGGGGACACGGAGCAAGCCTGTCCAAGGTCACCCTCAAGTGCAGGGGTGACCTCTCTGCTCGTTTTGGTTTTGAAAGCGGGACTCTGTTCTTTTTCCCAGAATTCCTCCATCTGGAATTCTCTCCCATCCCTGCCGGGTTTGTATCCTGCACCCTTTCGGGCGCGGCCCAGTTTGAACCCCAGGCCCTCATGGGAAGTCCGGATCACACGCTACAGTCTCTCGCCTTGAGCACAGGACTGTTACCACCCAGCTCAATGGCGGTGCCTTGACCATGTTCCGGAAATGAGAGTGACAGTCCGTCCCCGTCAGATTACATGTTGGAGGTGCTGTAATTACACCCTCGGCTGATTAATTTAGGAGATGTAATTAGCGCCAAGGACGTCGAGGGATGGTGGTTAAACTCTCCTGTCTGCGGGGGATGTATCGGGCCGCCCAGGGGCCTGTCCCCAGCTTCACCTCGTCATTCAGCACAGGTCCATTTCAGGCAGCTGATGGGTCCCGAGCTTTGTCATTACTGCATGTGACGGTGGGTGTAGCGACAATGGCGGTAGCTGACGTTGCTTCTCCATACTTGTTTCAGCGCTTGGATCTTGGAATTCTGGGCTGAGCGGCAGATAGGGGCCAACGGGACAGACACACACCCCCCTACAGCAGCCCGGGTTACAGGTACGACACCAGCGGGTTCGACAGGCGACAGGCCAGGCATCCTCTAAGCTGGGAGGCTGAGGGCAGTGCCTTTAGCTGCTCTGAGGGGGGGGGGGACACTTTTTAAGCAGGCAATGTCATTTCCTTCCATATCCCCATACGTTGTCTCTGGGCAGTGAGGATGGAGGATGGAAGGTGGGACAGCGCCTTTAGTCTGGTGGGGTGGGGTGGGTCAAGGTGGGGCCTCAGATGTGTCTGCATCATGGATTAATGCCCCCCACCCCAACCCCAACCCCACTACTGACCTTTCAGGATTTAGGAAGGGGGTGAAAAATAAGGTATGTAAATGCTGACCATGGTGTTAGAATAGGCAGCATTCTGTTGGGGGGGTGGGTTATGTAAGTATGGGATCTGGATTTGCTTCCTGGTGACAGTGGCATGTACATCAGTTGTGGGGGGGGGGTCGCACTGCCATACTGACAAAAGCATGTGGACTATACCCTCCCCCAAACCCCCTTCTGAGCTTTAAATCTGAGAGGTTAATCTTTCAATGCTGTGGAAAACGGAAGCATGCTGGATCTTCTTTGCACATGGGGAATTCCTAATCGGCACATTAGATTAACCTGGTGCTGGCACCGTGAGTCAGAGAGGTGCTGAGGCACTGGCGGTAATGGTCAGAGCGGTGCTGAGGCACTGGCGGTAATGGTCAGAGCGGTGCTG